AGTGAGGCATTCTTCAGGCCCATATCCTTCCATTGTCCGAAAATTGAGCAAAAATTTTGATTCGTCTGAGAACAATACGGTCTTCCAAAAGTCCGGAGGCTTGGTCATCATATCACTTGCCCACTTCTTTCGTCTGACTATATTGGCAGGGCTTAATAAGGGCTTCCGTCTAGCTGCTCTGCAACGATAACCCAATCTGTGGAGAATCCGTTGAACAGATTTTGGGCTCATCCCACCAACTTTGGCCACTTCTGCAGTCGTTAATCTGGGATCCATTTCGATGCTCCTCTTGACAGCCCTTTTTGTCCTCTCTGATGGACCAGGATGACCCGAATGCTGCTGAGTTGTTTCCTTGCCGTGTTTCCTGAACTGCACGATGGTTCTGTTGACTGTCGAGAGCAGGATTCCCAAATTCTGCAAAATTTGCTGCTGACTTATTCTACCACCATCTGCTTGACCAACTGTCCTTCCTCTAACAAAATCTGACAATTCGAGAGAACCTTGAGTTCTAGGCATGTTGTAACACAAGATAATTAGTGTGCGGACCATTTTCATTTATATAGTGATCTATGAACACAAATTAGTTAGCATAAATCAGTTAAATGACGAAAAATTAGGTGTCTATTTACTTGTGACCACTCAGTGTACAAGACTGTTTGGCTTAATAGTTATTGTTTAGTTTATTTAGTGATTTAATATTTAATGATTGTTTAGTTTCATGACGGGAGTGTTTAAGGTTGATTGTTTTAAAAGCCTTAGTAGTGATAAATTTCGTTATGTAACTCTGTGCGAGTCGTACGTTGTGTATGCAGTTAGATTGTTGTACTAGGTTTTAGTAATATTGTTGACATCACGATACTCGAATTTTCGGTATTTTTCTTGTTACCTTAAGGGAGTATTGTTCCATTATAGCGTCGCGTAGTTTATAGAAAGTTCGAGGCCTCAGTTAATTAATTTATCTATGTGTGTGTGTGTATATACGTGATTAAACGAGCGCAAGTGAAGTTAAGTTGAAAAAATAAAATAAAACGTGAAGTTAGCCATTGTGTGACTAATTAGCCTTAACTGGTGATATCTTAAGGTGAGTTTCACAGTTTAACAGAGCCAAAGAGAATAATTTGTCTTGTCAAAGGGTGTTCTAAAGTAACTAAACCCGTCTGTGTGGACTTTGACGAAAAGGAGACAATTATTTAAAGCTCGAGATACAACTGTGGTAACCCACGGAATAATATAAGTGAATCTATCGCAGAATGTGCAGTAAGAAACAGAGTAGAGAAAAATATTTCGTTTTGTCAATTGGATTCTAAAGTAATCGAATCAGCCTGTGTGGACTTTTGACAAGAAGAGAGAATTATCTAGAGTTTTAGATATTCTGACAGTATTTCTTCTGTAACATTTGCTACAGCTACATCAATTTGTAGACACAACTTCACAAATAACGTTTCAACAGAAACTTAAAAACTAAAATAAGCTTAGCTTACTTATGAACTTATTTGAAGAATTTCCTCGATAAGCTATTGATAATAAACATGCTAACTCACAATAGCTAAATAGATTCAATAACTCTCACTGTCTAAGTCACTAACGGACACTGAACTGGATCACTCACTCATACTGACTCATTAGTTGATTTAAACACTACCTCCATCTGTAAATTTTACAACATCACTAATTTTCCACTTACTACACGAAACATGTAGATTGTTAATCTTCATGAATATTCTAGATATTGTTTCACAGGATGTAATCGCATGCTTTCTCTAGCAAAGAAGTATCTAAATTAAAATATAGTTTACAACGATATAATTATTACGATTTCATCTTGATTTTAATAACGATTTCCTATTATATCTTTGGCCCCCTAGTGTCTCAGTGGTAAGTATGAGGGCCTGTGACAGCACAATTTGGATTTTGATACTTGCGGTGGGAACATCAAAGTTAGCTTATTTTTGTAGCTTTGCGCTTAGCAACATACAAACTTTTATATCTTCTTCTTCCACCACAATTACAGGTAATCGGTAACATGAGGTTTACCATCTTGTCAGTAATTGGGATTTAAATATATCTTTATTGCTGATAGTAATATTAATATTGTGCACTTTAAATGTAAATTTTTCTAGTAATTTGTGTGTGTGTGTAAAGGGAGGGTATGGTAGCGAGATTAGAGATTTCGTGGGTTGAGTATATCAAACAAGTTTATAACTAACCTCTAAACCTGGCGTTACGATTTATTAAAGCCGTCTAGCGAGTTACTATTTTAGTTAAAAGCTGACGCATTCGGAATTTTGTATGTTTGGAGGCGTTTTGTTTTGTGCAACTTGTGGTAAGAAAATATATCTTTGCAAGACTTTAGTCTGTTATTGTTAGCATAAATTAGGAACTTATCATATATATATGAAAGAGTGGGTTGAATTAATTATGAAGTGTTACACATTCGTTTCCGCAGTAGAAATATTGGTAATAATATGAGCAGCGTTACACTAGGGTTAACGGTTAACCATAATAATAATTAATATTAACAGTGACAGAAATTAAGTTGTAAATTCACAAATGTAAGTTTTATCTGATAAAAAAAGTCGAATTATGGTGTGTATATTGATTTTTGTCACACTTATTAAGTTATTAATTTGCTTCCAAATTCCATTCAAACTGTTTTTAATGACTCAAGCTATATTAATTATTAAATATCGTATACAGTATAGGATTATAACCTAGGTTTAAGTTTAAGCAGTTTCAAAGAACAGAATTAAAACTAACAAATTAAATATTTTGTCATTAGAAATTTAGTTATACTCCAAATGTTATATTAAAATATACCATTAAAACCAACTTTTATCGATGTACCTTTTCACCAATGATTCGTAAATATTCAACTTACAAATTGTCTGTGTGTGTGTGGGGGGGGGGGCTTATGTGAAGAATGACTTGTATGAGATGGCTGAGTTTCTACATCTTTTTTTTCTTTTTATCTTTCTTGTTTTAACAAGAGGAAATATCATTCATTATTAGCAATATTCTGGACCCAAAGCATTCTGTGGAAAATTTTGGAATTAAACTGAATCATGTAAATATTAATTCCTTGGTAGTTGTGAAAAAATTTTGAATAAAAATAAAGCATACTAAGACCAGCAAGTGTTTTCCCCACTGCTTTAAAAGAGGTTGAAGATCAAATGTGTGAACCTCTCTCTCATTTTTGAGAAGTCAAAAGACAATGATCAATGCCTGAGTATTGGAGAGATGCTGATGTTACTCCTATTTTTGTGAAGGGTGGTTAAGAGTTGCCCTGAAATTTTTAGACTAATTAGTTTTATTTCTGTAGTAGGAAAAAATGAGAGAAAGAGAGAGAGAGATAAAAGTTTTGAAAAATTAGTTACTGAAGCACAGTTATAGATCACTTGTAAGACCTCATTTAGAATACTGTGTACAGGTTTGGGCTCCCTTCCTCAAGAAGGACATTGAATTGTTGGAGAAGGTTCAAAGAGCCACTAGGATGATACCTGGGATGGTGGGATTGTCCTATCAGGAGAGACTAAAATATCTAAACTTGTTTTCTCTGGAGAGGAGAAGGATCAGAGGGGATTTGATTGAAGTGTTTAAGATTATTAAGGGTATTAATAATATAGATCCATCAAACTTTTTTGTGTTTAGTAGTGAAAACAATAGGACAAGGGGTCATAAATTAAAATTTTTTCAGTGTAGGAGTTGTCTGCAGTTTAGACAGTACTACAGTATTACTTTTCAAACAGGGTGATTGGCTTTTGGAATGAGCTGCCTTCAAGGGTGGTGGAGGCAGAAAATTTAACTGAGTTCAAGAAAAGATTGGATGAATACATGAGTAATAAGGGGTTGTTATAGTTGGGGGCTGGAAGGGACATCCTTGATGGTCTAATAAGCTCTTTTTTGTCCCTTTAAAATTTTAGGAGTCTACAATATAAAAGAAAGCCAGTATAAATTCCCTAAATGAAAATATTGCTTTTGTAATTTTTTTTTAGTGTGTTACTTTATGTCTGAATGTAGACTTGGTGTACATAGGTTTTCCAAAAGCTTTTGATAAGGTGCCAAACAGAGGGTTAGCCAAGAAAATCACTTCAATAGGGTTAGGAACTAGTTAATTAAACTGTAAAGTGGTTGTAAAAAGTCATTAATGGAATATAGTGATCTGGATCTTTGTTACTAGTGGAGTGCCTTGGGGTTGGTTCTTAGTCTTTTACTTACATAAGTTAACAACGTTTATAGAGGAATATTTAGTAAATTAGTCAGTTACACTGAAAATATTAAATTTGTAAACTTCAGGTTGTATAATGTATTGAGAATGTTGAGGTACACAACCTACAGAAAACAAGGCACCATTTGGTCTTTCCTGGCTACCCTTTTGTACTTACTCTTGAGAAAAAGTAAAAAAAATCAAATCCATCTTTTATTTTTCAGGAAAATGTTGACTCCTTTCTTAATTTATTGAGATCTGTGTGTGTTGATTTGACACACCTGTTGTATGGTTTGTCAAATTGTATGGAAAAGAAAGGGACTACTTCAAAATTACTTTCTACAGTTATGTAGTTTTAGCAGATAAAATATCTTGTTTTTTTATATGTAATATTTGTATGAATTTTTAGCTTTGAAATTTTGAAAAGATTTCATTGTAGTATTTTTTAATAAATAATTAATAATGTTTACTTTTGCTGTAATTTTAATAATTAATTTTTTTTTATCACACTCTATATTTTTTTAAGAAATAGTTAAAAGCACCTAATTTTGCTGTAGATATTAATTACTAATTTTCTCTTGTTCTACATTTCTTTAAGACCAATATAAATTATCCATTTTATAAAACTAAATTTGATCACTGTTTTGATTTGAAAAACAATGCATCCTTGTTTTACTGTGTTTGCATTATGTAGCATATAACTTTTTTTATCATGTCAGAATTATAAGTAAAGCAATGCTGTTGTTTGTATTGTTAGTCAAGAGGTTTTGTATTCATTTATATATTTCTTTTACATTTCTCTTTGATGCTTTCATTTGCTCACTTAAACATTTAGTCAGTGAGGGCCAGGATGAACTAAATGCAGAAAAAATAAGATATAGGGAAAGGTACAGTGTAGGAACAACATGCAGTAGTAGTTTTAAGGGTGTAGGCCAAATCAATACAATGTAATGCCACATGTATAAGAAATAAAATGTTTGACCTTAGAACACTAAGTGGAGCAGAGGATTTTGATTTAATGAAAATAACTTGAAATTTGTTAAATGTAGACAATTGTGATGACAAATTTCGTTTAAATATAGATTTATAGGTTATATAATAGGGATAAGAGTACCAAAAAAGTGGGGGGGAGTGTTTGTTATATGTAAAATGTCAGTTTCATCCTGTTGAAGTTGAGGATATCAAAGAGAATAGCAAGGATATTGAATGTATTTGACTTTCTTTTAGTGGATATAAGGGAAGAAGTCTTTTGCTTTTTTAGTTGGAGTTTGTTATAAACTACCAGATAAAACTGGTGAAAGTTATGAGAAACTTTACATGAAGATTAAGGTTTCAGAAATGTAGTACTTTTCCAAGTTTTTATTTGCACAGGTTAAAATATCTGAAATTGTTTTGCTTCAAAAAGAAGAGTTAGAGGGGATCTGATTTAGGTGTTTAAGATTTTAAGGGAATTGATAGTTTTGGTGCATAATCTTTTTTTATATTTAAAGGTGAGAATGGTAAAACTAGGAGATGCACACACATTTTGGCAGAGTCATTTTCTAACAGTGTGATTGGTCTTTGAAATAAATTGCCTTCGGATGTGGTGGATGCAGTACACATAGGGGAGTTTAAGAGAAAGGTCATAAAATATTTAAATGATAAGGGCTGGCTTTCAGTATTGTTTTTAAAAGTATAGTTTAGTCTGAGGGACAGCTTATATGGACAGTGGCCATGTCGTAGACACAAAACTTGATACAGTCAAGTGTAAAATGATTTAACTAAGCCTACCCCATCTTGTTCCACATAACACTTTTTCTATCATAATTCAGATGAAATATAAAATGATAAAGCAAGTTTTTTGCAAGCTTAAGAAAATAATTAATTGTAGCAAATTTGTTCAGGAATCTTTTAAAGACATATTAGCGAGCTAATCTTTTATAAATTTGTTCTCACCTCTAAGCAAATTATGACTGAACTGGAAGCTTTATTGCTTTTACAGTTCAAATGGAAAAAAGAAGAACTGTCATGAGATGTTTAGATAAGTAGTCTATAGCATCGGGATGAGATGTTTAGATAAGTAGCCTATAGCATCTGGGAGCTGAAATATTGGTAAGTATATCACAGCATAACAACTGTGGTTGAGAAACAGTGATTAGCTGAAAATTGATAAAATTACTCTTGTATTTCTGTTCGCTGTACCTTGACTGACCTTCTGAAATTGGGGGCGACTGAGAGATTTGTTTGGTGTTTTGACCTTGGAAATTTTTATTTTCACCAATTTTTGCCAATATACTGACTGTCAATTGATCAGGTAATGGCCTCCCACATCATTGCAGACTACATGAAATACTGATCAAAAATACTGTAACCATAATACAGTGATCAAAATTGTAAAGCTGGCCAACTATGTTAGATGAGTTCAATGTTGATCGGGCAATGCATTCAGGTTTGACAACATGACTTATTTCGTGCCCAGGACTCTTCACACTGAACTAATAAATACCTAACCTAGCAGGGGCGAATTTACTACTGATGAGCATACATCAACCACATGGCAAACTTAAGTCTGTTCAGTATATTTGTCTCCAAAAACTGTTCTCATGGATTGAGGATTAGGATAAAAAACAAGTTAATTCTGATTGGAAACTTATCCACATGAAAGGAAGTAGTTGTAGATTTACTTGGTGAATGAGATGAAAAGGAAAACAAACTGTAAAATTGTCGGTAACAGTCAATTCAATTTCAATGATTAAAGTCGATATCAACCAGCAAGTGTATGTTGCAAAATAATTTGAAATTTATCTAATTCTCTTTATATAGAATAAATTTTAAAGTAATTTTAATCATGGTTTATCACATCATGTTTTAGGTAATCACAGAATTAGTGGTATTTCCAAAAAAATTTGTCAAGTAACTTGAAAAAAAAAGTTTACCTACCTACCTACCCGCATTTTAAATCAGTTTAGGGTTACAGCAAACAAAAAATATGAAGTTCCTCTTATGGAGCAATAAGTGTCATTATGCTCAGAAAATATTTAGGAACTCTAATAATTTCATTAAGAGAGAACTGAAATTAGCCCAAAATCAGAATTTGCATTTTATTTTTTATTTGTATGTATAGAAATAAATTAACAAAACTTCTGTTGAATAAATTTGAACTCTTAAGTATTTTTTTTTAATGTGTGGAAAATGACACCAAATTTATTTTCTGTATGCTTTTAATTCAGTGGTCAAATTTTACCTTTGAGGAAGGCTACAACTATCTGGGCATTAAATGATTAAACTCCTGTAGACTGCTGACCTCCACTACTGACAATGGCAACTCCTTCTGTAATCAGTCATCCTGTTATAAAAAATGATATGCCATAACTGGAGCTTAACCCGTCTTTTCCAAATCTTAAGTTTGTGTCCTCTCATTCTGTTATCTTCATATATTTTGTTTCTGTGAAAGAAATAACTCGGTTATCTTAATGTATTTCTACAAGATAACCCTTCCTTGGAATCATCCTAGTAGCCCTCCTCTGAACACTTTCCAGTAAGACAGTGTCCTTTCTTAGATGAGGAGACCGAAGTTGTACACATTGTTAGAACATTAGTGAGTAGAGATGAAAGCAAGTTTATGAACACTGTGATTATTATTTTGGTACCTATTTTGAACACCAGTTATAATGTCTTTCATTTGCACTAGATAGAAAAAGCATATACAGTAAAGGAGTACAATTAGTTGTGTTTTTCCCAGTACATTTAACTTTCTGAGATATTACCAAATTTATCCAGTACATTCTGAAAGAAAAGTATAAGTAAGTACATGTAATTCAATATACGTACTGTTGTGGACTGAATATTGACATGAATACTATGGCTCTAAGATACAGATATATCATTTATCTTACATACAGATTTAGTACATAATTTTTAGTGATAAATGAGAAGATCTCTGAAATTGGAATTTAACAAATGGTTTTAGAAAAGCTTAATTTCACTAATTTGTTAGAGTTGTTGAAAATAGTTAAGGGTTTGATAGAATATAATTTGTGGAATAGCTTGCTCGATGTGTGCTGATAATTTATAATTCATGATTAGTGTTTGTTAGTACCTACAAAGGATCAGATATCATTTAGCTTCTTAACAAATAGAATGTCTGCTCTTACCAAAGTCGTTATGTTTTTATACATAAAAGAGGAATGGGTTGGATAAATTATCATTTCTTGCTATTTTATTTTTAGTTTTTTTATCATGTTATTAAAAGATATATGTCCTATGACATTGCTTTTTTAAAATATGGTTTGCTTTATGAAATCGGGACAACAACAATTGTTCATAAACTTTTATAAGTGTAGTTACAGTGGTCAACATTTGATTATTATTTTGATGATCATAGAAAAGGGCCTTTAGTGACTTTTAATGAACATATTAGAAACACTTGAATTAATGTTTGTCAAACCTGAACATACCTATAACGGCTAATCAGTTGTTTTTACTCTAATAAGGGAAAGAATAACCATCACTATTAGCTTATATAACATATAAATGAATTATAGTAGTCAGTAATTGGTAAATATTTAACCTGACATTTGATTTCTTCTTCTTATTATTTATACAAGAGAAATATAACATTTTTGAGATGTTCTAGATAACAATAATGGATTTTTTTATGTATTTGGGAAACAACTGTATGAAATATGTGCTATCTCATAGATTAACTGCAGAACAGAAAGTTAGGCCTGCTAATAACAGGAGATTCTTGGATCTCAAGCTTTGGGATATACTTCTTTTGGTAACTGATGCATTGTGAGGAAAGAGACAAGAAACAAATATACATATAAAAGATATTTAGTAACAATTCACAATTTACAATAAATTATAACACACTATTGCAAATGATTGTGTGTATTTTAGGAAAAAAGTGTTATCAGTAAGAGTTACTAATGGAGACTAATAAAACCCACTTTTAGTAGTACATGCATCCCCTTCCCCATAAATTAAACAAAACTATAAGACAGTATCCAAATATTGGTAAACATCTAAGGTTCTGTTTGGAATTCATTGTGAAGCATCCAAATGCTTTAAAATCTATGCATGGAGCAGCTGCTACACGTTACTTCATGATTACCAGGAATAAACTCTGTCTTTGTTCACTTAGAGTAGATGAAACTGAAACATTGAAGTACACACTAGTCTTATGGGTGCTCACTCTAAATGTAACTGAAACATTGAAGCACACACTAGTCTTATGGGTGCTCACTCTAAATGTAACCAAAACATTGAAGCACACTCTAGTCTTATGGGTGCTCACTCTAAATGTAACCGAAACATTGAAGCACACTCTAGTCTTATGGGTGCTCACTCTAAATGTAACCGAAACATTGAAGCACACTCTAGTCTTATGGGTGCTCACTCTAAATGTAACCGAAACATTGAAGCACACTCTAGTCTTATGGGTGCTCACTCTAAATGTAACTGAAACATTGAAGCACACACTAGAGTCTTATGGGTGCTCACTCTAAATGTAACTGAAACATTGAAGCACACACTAGTCTTATGGGTGCTCACTCTAAATGTAACTGAAACATTGAAGCACACACTAGTCTTATGGGTGCTCACTCTAAATGTAACTGAAACATTGAAGCACACACTAGTCTTATGGGTGCTCACTTTAAATGTAACCGAAACATTGAAGCACACTATAATTTTATGGGTGCTCACTCTAAATGTAACTGAAACATTGAAGCACACTCCAGAGTCTTATGGGTGCTCACTCTAAATGTAACCGAAATATTGAAGCACACACTATAATTTTATGGGTGCTCACTCTAAATGTAACTGAAAAATTGAAGCACACTCTAGAATCTTATGGGTGCTCACTCTAAATGTAACCGAAACATTGAAGCACACTCTAGAATCTTATGGGTGCTCATTCTAAATGTAACTGAAACATTGAAGCACACTCCAGAATCTTGAGTGCTCACTCTAAGTGAAAGTGAAAATAGCACATAAGCAATTTCTATACTATACAAAAGGTTTATAAGCTGTCATTGTAAGAAACAAAAAATAATAATACCTGTTACACAAAAATTCACTGCAAGAGCTTTACTAACTCTTGCTTAAAATTAAACACAAATCCCATCTATATAATATGAAGAGTACTCAAAAATCTGATCTCTCAGCCCAAACACTGGCATAAATGTATCAGTAAGCCTCGGCTTTTTGATGTATAAAAGATCATGATTAGTGCATGTTATCTCAACTGTCTAGCGGAAGGTGCAGACTTAAGTGGGTGACTACCCCCAACTGTCTAGCGGAAGGTGTAGCTACTATTATTTGATTTGCTATAGACAAGAATAGCTCTGCTTAATTAAATGCTTTCATTATTCCTGTCAGAAAACCAGGTAAATGAACCAAAGTTATCACACGGTTCCAGCACACTAATCGGGAAAGGTAAAGTTAGTAACTTGCTTGAGTGTCTCACTGTGTCTACTTAGTAAACTATGAAAAACAACAATTAGAAAAAATTACTTTTTATTTAAAGGCATGGAAAAAAACATTACATCCTCCTTACTACAAATGCCATACAGTAGTCATGGTAAAAGTGCAAGTGTGAGATAATTTAGTTTTAATAAATGTGTATCTTGTAAAGATATGCAATAAGTATAGTAACTGAAGAAATAAATTTGTGTAGAATGATGCCATTTTAAACTACTATTTTTCTGCTCGGTTAAATTTGAGCACTTGAAAGTAAGATTCTTTTAATCTTAATGGTGTAAGATAAGTCGTGACGCATTTGCTGATGAGGATTTCAGTACGTTTAAAATTGATTTAGGTTTACCAAAAAATATGGAACCAGTTTTGTGTTTCTGAAATTGTTACAGTATGAAGAAACAGAATGATTTGTTAGCGAGTCAGTTAAGTATATATGCTATCCAATAAATACGTGTAAAATATATTATGAAACTTTCTTTACTTACAGATCACCTATGCAACAAGACATTTTTTTTGTATATACATTTCCAACCAAAGGACAGCCCTGAGTCTTTGAATGTGTTTGAGTGGATGCCTTCAGAAAATTCACAGGAAGTTTGTGAGAAATTGGTCCACGATAATAACTATATGCATCTAATTTCCACTTTGTATGTAATTAGAAAACTTCATAATTACCTTTTGTTAGTTAAATAGCGGCCTTTTTTTTTTAATTGATGAAGTTTTAAAAAGTGTGATAATGAGAAAACCATTACAGTGCTGAAAAATGAAGTCTTTTCTGAATGTCTTTGGTTTCACCCTGATGTTTGGCACTTTTGGAACTAGCTTTGGTGGTAAGTTGAGTTACTTGTTAAAAAAATTGTGATAAGAATGTGTAACTAATTTTTAACCCTTTAAAAGTCGCATGTTTTGAGTGTGTTATTAATGACCATACATGTGTGATCAATAGCTGTGATTTTAGGTTTTCTTACGTTTATAAATACTTTTTCCCAGTCAAAATGTGAATTGACACATTTGACATTTTCTTTAAAATATTCAAACACTTTCTGTACAGTAAAATCTGAACTTTGTATAGTTAATGACCCAGAAACATCTTTGAAGAAGGCAGATGTTTTCTGATCCTGTGTGTCACTTTCAACTTCAAGAAATGTGTTCAAAAAGCATTACAGTAAGATTTTAAGCTTAAATCTATTTTCTAGAGCCATAATATGATGCCTAGTTGTAAAACTTTTAAGCACGACAGTTCTCTGTTAAAGGAATAATGATGTGTAGCATAGCTTGTATGATTTAACCACTTTGTAGAAACATTATAAACACTGTTTATTCTCAACTTTTATCACCTCTGAATATTGGGATTTTGTTGAGTCTTGTATTATTTCATATTTGTGTTTAGCAGTTTGTGTTATACCTTTCAAAGAGGAAACGTAGTCAACTTAAAATTCTTTCTGGTTTATATGTATTTCTGCAGTTACTGTTACTAATGCCCTTAAGCATAAATGACCATTTTCTGCCTTACCTACACTTTTATCAAATTATAACTGAAAAAGTATATGTATGAATGTTGTTTATTTAAAGAAACTTTAACCCTAAAATCAGGAGTGAATCATACAACAATTAGTGGTTGTTTTGGGTATCACATTATTCAGCTGCTGATGAAAAGCATTCAAATTTTCTTTCCAAGGAGAATACAGTATTAGAATTTTTAAACAATACAACTTTTCTGTTCATTGGCTCTCATCTTTCAGAAAAATATTCATTTGAAAATGAATTATTCCCCATTTGTGTCAGTTTTGGTTAAATCCGTTGCTTTTTACAAATTAATTTACCTGTAGAAGACCTTTTTTCAGAACTAAACTAGTCGGTGCTGTTATACATTCTTCTTTACTTTCACTTAAATGTTCTTTAAATATATAATGTAAGAATGTCAAAAAGTAATGTTTATACTAATCTTAAGTGCAAGGTTGGAAGATCTGACGTTTGCGTGAAGTTCAAACATAGTAGATACAGTGACGATGGGGTTCATGTTAAAGTAATCAGAAAGGTTATTCAGAACATTAGAATCCAGTCAGAAGAGGACAAAAAAACCTGTGAAGCAGAAGAAATATTAAGAATAAAAAACTCTGTTGTTCTCATTATAACCACTTTTCATTGGCTTAGATCATTCAAGGATTGACGTACTTAAGTGTGATTGATCGGACCTTAACCAATGAAAGTCATAAGAAATAGATTAAGGACATTTATTGTTGTGTCTACTAAAGATTAAAATGGAGTGGACCTGAACAGAATAGTAGCCTTGTTTGAGAAGACTTTTCATCAACACCAAAAACATTTTGGGAGTTTTATTGTGTTTTTCGAAGCAGTAGATTGAACTATAAACTATAAAGTTTTATATGAGAAATATGTCTAGCAGATTTTCAGAGTTGCCACCAAAACATTGTGATTTTTGTGTGATTGTCTTATGATTTTAAGGTTAAATAGTGATATATATAAATATATATATTTGAAAAATTTGGTCATTTATTTGATCAACAAAACTTTATGGTTGAATGGCACATTCTTGACCTGTTCCATTTGTGTCTTATAATTAATACTGTCATTAATTACAAAACTTTTGTAAAACCGATATAATTAAAACAATAACTGGTTTAAAAATTCATGAAAAATCAATAATAAGTAAGTGATGCTCTGAAATTTACATTTTCAGTAGGCTTAGTGTAACTTATTAACCTTGACATTATAAGTTAGAATATACACTACTACAGTCATGCTTCATACACGAAGTTTCAGCTCAAGGTAACATTATTAAAAGCAGACTGGTTTAAAATTGTTTTCAATCATTGTGTTATTAGTCTTATTGTGAAGTAATGTCGTACAAACCACCTATCTTCAGCTCAAGATTTATTGGTATAAGGCATTGTGTACCTAATAATTAATAATGTTTAAACATTTTTTGTGTGTCTGAAGTTTTTTATTATAATAGTTTCTTGATGCAGGTAGATGTATATGTATTAACATCAACTGTATATATATTATTTTTCAGTAGGATGCCTTGATATGTTTATTGTGTGGCTTATCCTGTAATATTTCTTGCTGTACATGCATGTAGCAGTAATGGTAAATGATAACTTTAATTAATATCGTAAGCATTACTGTTTTACATAATGCTATGTGAGAACATTTCAATGAAATGAAAAATAACTAATTATTTTACCTTTTTGTTAAAAAAAAACAACGTCTAAAACGAGTGGTCTTCTGTGTCTATATTCAATTAATCATCAGTAGTAATATATTTATATTCATTGTCCAAAGGCCATAATTGGTTATTGATCTGATTTTGTTTGCAGTACCAATCAGTGACCCTGTCATTTAGCAAAATTATTTTCATCCAGTTGACCGATATTCTTTCAAAATAAGATTTACATTTTACATTTTGAGCTAATTGAAATCTGTGTCAAGTACTGTCTATAAGTTCTAAGGAAATGTTTGGTTTATGAAAATTGTTTCTATTGAGCCTGCTTAGCATATTGTGGGATACAGGTGCATTTTCCCAGTAGAATGTACCTTATTTGTATGTATGCTTCAGGTTACAGGAATTCAACTTTATTTTTGACCTAAAACCTGTAAATTTGTGTTATCAGAGTTCAAAATAATGAAATTAGGGGCAAAACAAAGTATAGAAAGTTAAAACCTTGCTCGAAATCAATGAGATATTGTTTTTTTTACTTCATTATTTTCCAATCTTGATATTTTGGAAATGTTTTCTATTAGTTTTTTGTCAAATGAAAATAATAAAACCTTATTGAAGAAATAAAACTACCTCAACTGAAGTTGCCTGACCTTTTCAAGTCTCACATTTATGGCCTCCTCTTTCTGCCCTTAGAATTCAACATGAGAGTCAGATGCAATTGATCTTATCAATATATTTGATAATTTTGAATACTTCAATTAGGTTATCCCTGAGTCTTTTTTTTTCTTTAAAGAGAAGTTAAGAGATTTCAACTGTCCTTATTATGGGAATGCATTTTCATCCCCAGATTCATCCTAGTAACCCTCCTATAAACTTTGCTAAAACGTAATGTTCTTCCCAAGACAAAGGAATCAAACTACATACAGTACTCCAAATGAGGATTAATTAGTGATTTGTCCAATGAGACCATAGTCTGTTTGGGCTTGTAAAAAGAAGGAAATATAGATAACTGTATGGGCAAAAAAATAATTGAAATAAGTTATAGAGCTTGGCAATTATTTATCTTTTCATCACTTGTATATTTTGTAACTTTATAACTTGTAATTAATATTCATGTGTATTTGTATATACATCTTAAAATGTTTTATTATTTAATACCTTTATAACTTGTAATTATTATTCATGTGTATTTGTATATACATCTTAAAATATTTTATTATTTAATACCTTTATAACTTGTAATTAATATTCATGTGTATTTGTATATACATCTTAAAATGTTTTATTATTTAATACCTTTATAACTTGTTATTAATATTCATGTGTATTTATATATACATCTTAAAATGTTTTATTATTTAATACCTTTACAACTTGCAAAAAAGTACATAAGTTCTCTATCTCTCTCTTTATATATATATATATATATATATTGATTGATTGCAGTGAGATAAATGTAAGTTCATACATGTAATTCTAATGACTACATATTTTTCCATTTAATTTGCCAGTGGAACATTCACTTTGTTTACTATATTTTTAAGTTACTTATTTATTTTTAAATGGAATATGAGTGAAATAATTGGCCTTGGTGATTTAGATGACATTTCAACTCATTAGCTTTAGTTTATTCTATACTGGAGTAATTTTTTTCATTATTTCAATTTGTACGAACATTATTAAATCTTGTATGAGATTTTGGAGAGCAACATGTAGTTTAAATGCTTTGTTAATCAGTTAGTCTATATATTTAACTCTCACTGCTATGGACACATATGGGGAACACAATATAAAACCTTTGTTTGAGACTTGAAAGTGTGATGGTAAGTGTTTTTAAGTAAATATTCTTAGAAGTATGTTTGCAACAAATTAATTAGTTTTATGGTTTTAAAAATGTTATTGTTGCATATTGATTTGTAAATATTCGTGTATGCAATTATTTAACCTAATACTTCTGATAATCTAATAGTCTTTTGATGTGGCAAGTAATAAACATGACATAAGTAATTATATGGAATTGAATATTTCTGTATGTATCTAAAAATATACCTAATACTGAGAGTTATTTATATACAAGTGTGTCAGTAAAAGGAGGTAATACATCTTTGTGAAAACCAAATTCTTATAATTTGGTTGCCAGAAAGTAAACTTTTTAAGGTAAGTGTTTTATATACATGCTGATGCTTTTGTTATGGTAGAATTTTTTCACCCATATATACTATAAACTGGAATTAACTTTTACCAAGATTTTCTCCTTTGAGTAAAGTGAGGTTTCATTTTCAGTCAGCTTCAGATTCAATAAACTATTATTTTGCATGTGTTGACTATGAAGTAGTTTATTTAGGTAATACCTAAGAAACCTCCTCTTGTCTGTAACAAAAAGTAATGGCCTTCATTTACTAAAAAAACAAACTCTTAGATAGGAAAAATTAAGATGTATTTCATTTCCTTGCTAAGATGTAAGAACTTCTGACAAACTACTTAAGTATTATGTGGGTTTCCTGATTAACGGCTAATCAGTCATTGAGAAATATGTGAGCTAAAAGAAATCTATTTTTGGTTATTTGTATTATTATTATTATTTACTTTTATATTTCAATAGGTGAAAATAATATTGTTGTTACCATATCTCCTGAAGAAGACAGCATTACAAAGAGAGTAAATGAAGATCTGAATTTAGTATGCAGAGTGACTGATGAAAATATTGCTCAAATTAGGTAAGTGAAGGCATGAATATTGATGACTTTGTTGTTTATTAGTTTGTATCTTTTATGTCTTCATTTTAGCACTGAATCCTATGATTGTTCTAGTTGTTTAATCAAAGTAAATAGCTAGATTTTACAATAGTATAGTACTTAACTAGTTCTGCATACTTTGGTATCTAAAACATATCCAGAAAATACTTAACTGGTTTTAATATATTCTGAGCTCTGAATCAATTAAATAAGTATAATACTTTTATCTTAGTTATGATGTTTAAACCCAACAAAAGTTTGAAACAGTTGTAATATCAAAATAAAAATAAAACAAGTTACATTTTTGGCCTTTCTAGCTAAAAGCATTTTAGAACTAAGTTGTTAAGATTATTATTATTGTTCTAAGCCAAACATTATATATATTTTTGTAATTCAGTATTAATGTTGTAAAACATGCCATGATTGATTAAACTAAGGTAGGAAGTTGATAAGCAAATAAATATTTATTAGCCTTTTCGAAGTAATTGTAATTTTAGGGTGGCACAAATAAATTGGGGCGTACTGGTTAGTGTGCCTGGATTACAAATATGAGGAACCATGGTTTTTGTAACCCATTGCCACAGAAACATGCCTCACACTTTTGTGATGACGATCAAATCACACTATCAGACTAGAGTAGCAGAAGTGTTGGCAATAAGTGCTGTTGATTAGCTGTCTGCCCTCTAATATATCAATTCACAGCTGGAGATAACTATTGTGGATGGCACTTGTGTAGTATTGCAAGAAATTCTGAAACAACACATTCAAAAAGTATTTCCCTAAATGATTTTTTTTTGCAACATAACGGTCATGCTATTATAATTTAGTTGGTTCTCAGTAAATTTGAGAAAAGATTTCCTAAAGTTCTTGTTTCTAACGTAGTCTTGTGGATTTAAAAGCTGGAAGCGGGTTTAATACTACTTCGTAGATTTTAAACATTTCTTTCATCTTGTATTGATGATAAAAAGTGTTTACTAATTTTGTATAATACACTAATAAGTTATGAACAGATATCAAAAGCCCTTATATAAGAATTCAGGGTGATAAATTTTTTTGAACAAAGTTTGTATGTAGTTTCTGTCTCAGATGCACATTCTTTTTATTTTTTAATATCATTTTAATAACTTGTTTCTCGTCAAGCAAAGTTGTGCTGTATAGGTTTCTCCCCAGTGGCTCAACAGTATGTCTGATGGCTTATAATGCTCAAAAACTGGTTTTGATACCTGTGGTAGGCACAACATAGCCCATTGTGTTGTTTTGTGCTTAACAACAAAACAGACAGTAAGCTTTAGACTTCACGTATAGTTTAAGAGTGAAAAACAAAACTAGTCTCTAAACTACTTTGAGCTATAATGTTTTTGATTATGTCTAAATTTTATTTAAGAAGTTAATTTTATTCCAGAATACCTTATTCCTTTCATAATATACTAGTATGATTATAGTGATTAGCAAATGAAGAGCATTTAGCAACTTAGTTTCATTTAGTATATTTGAATACTTTGAAGTGTATTGCTTCACTCTGTTCTTGAACTAAAGAGGGAAAAATGAATATACATTAGCAATTTATGGTTAAAAGGTTGTAAGACTTTTAAAGAAGGGACATTTAGGTTAGGCTTGTGAACTTTTGTTGATATTAGTTTAATTAAAGATACATAGTATGTTTTTAATTTAAGACATAAAAACATTACATACAGGATATAGTTACCTGTGAGATTAATAAACAGGTCAATTTCATTATCTTAAATTACAAAGGATTATTTATAAAATCAAGTATGGTTGGGTTCCATAAATTAGTTATCTGTAGATCTCTACACATATTTTTCAATGGCACACTGCCACATTATGATATTTACCAGGTACCATTTGATATACTTTACAATTTCTGTATTGATAAAAATAAAATGCATATTAATATAAAAAATTGTGTAAAATGATAGTCTTGAGAGTGAATGGCATGCTTGCCACAACTTTATCATGTGTAAGAATAAAGGTGGTAACCTAGCTTCAAAACATGAAGTTTTATAAAATACCATGACAAGAACTAAATATTTACCATCCATCTGTGTCACTTGTGCTTGCTTTTATGTGAAATAACCCAATAATGTTTTTTTCCAGTTAAAAAAAATAAAGTATTGTGAAGGAAACTTGAAAAATTTCTCATCTGTCATGTCACTATCTTAACCCTTTTGCTACAGGTAGGGGTCAGAGGACATGCCATCACATTTGTAGACTTATATTCAAAGTTTTATTAAACTACTATTTTATTAATGTATGCTGTTGGGTATACAAGACTGTTTAGTGTAGGCATTATTATTTAATTTATTTTGTGAATTAATATTTCATGATTGCGTAGTATTTTTCATAACAACAGAGTTAAAAGCAATAATTTTAAACATGATAGTTATGACAAGTTTGGTTAAATAACTTGGAAAGGGTCATACGTTGTGTTTGCAATTCACTGATGTCGAGGCTTTAGAAATTTTTTAGAGGCCTCAGTGATAAGCATATAAATAGCAGTAACCAAACAAGCAGGAGCAGAGAAAAAGTAAAGTCAAGTGAAAGAAAAGTTCAGTCAGAGAAAAGTTAGAAAACAAGTTAGCCATTTTGGGAGTGAATAGCCTTAATGGTTGATATGTTAAAGTGAGATTAACAGTTTGATAGAGATAAGGAGAATAATTTGTCTTGTCAAAGGGTGCTCTAAACTAATTGAACCCCCATGTGTGGACTATGATGGAAAGAAGACAATTATTGGAAGTTCTAGATACAACTGTTGTAACCTACAAGGCAATGCAAGTGATTTATTCACTGATACTATTGTGATAAAAGTAGAGAAAAATAGTTTGGCTTGTCAACTGGATTCTAAAGCAATTGAATTAGCCTAAGTGGACTATTGACATGAAGAAGATAACTGTATAGTGTTTAAGATACAACTGTGATCTCCATAGTGTAAGGAATTTTTATACATATGTTTATCTTGTTTTAAATATATTATTATAAAACAAGTGGAGTGCATGCTATCCATTTGTTGTTTCAATTTATTGCCAATAAGTCAGACACCTATTGTAGAAGAATCCTTAACACCCACTCATAAATACTTAAAACTCTGACATATGTGATAAGTTTGGTATCAAATTGTAGATCATAATTGGAACTTTCGTATTATACATTAGTTAATTTCTTAATTTAAAAGTAAATATTAAAACAAAATTTCTAAATATCGGTTTTTGTGTCACATGGTATGTTGAAAAAGCTTTGGTTCAAATTAGATGTTTGTGATTTCCAAATACAAAGTCTATAGTTTCCTACGAATTAGGAACTCAAATTACTGACATTGACAAGCTAGAATATAAAATAAGAACCTCCTAGCTATTATATTTACAGATATTTTTATTTAGTGAACCAACAAAGGTGGCCCCACCCACCTCTTCCATTTTTGGAAATACTTACTTCATTGTATGATGTGTTTATACCCAATCAAAAGCTCAGAATGTCCCCCATGTGGTTTTCTCAGCCTTTGTGAAGTGTTTATGTGGGAAAACCTTCCTTTTCATGGTAGAATTGAAGCTGAAAGGTAAGAGATAATTGAATTTGAAATATAATATTTTTTTAGACCAAATACAGCTTAGTTACTAGTCCTGATAAATTATAGTGGAATTCTGTGGTATTGATATGGTAATTTATTATTATTTTTTTTCAAAATGCATATAAAAACATAAAAACTTACTTTGTTTTATTCATTATCTTAAATTACAAAGGATTATTATAAATCAAGTATGGTTGGGTTCCATAAATTAGT